CACTTAGTTGGATACTTCTCCAAGGTAAAAGTTTGATCTTACCATTACCAGAGTGTCTTGCTTTTATGCAGAATGTTTGTTGGGAAACGGCATTTCAAATGGGAAAGAACACATTTTTTTTACTGTTTGAAAATGCCATTATCTTTTTAAAAAGTGTTCTGAGGACATTGGATTTAGGTAACAATTACAGTGCACAGATCAGTGGTGGAATTCACTTAGGTTTACCACTGGTTCACAACTGTGAGCGAGCGGATGTGTGCTTTCCGTACATGCATGCAACTTTCCATGCATGTGCTTTGCTCGTACGCAGTAGTGGTTTGGTGGTCTTGGTCGCTGGAACTGGCAGCAACCCAGGCCTGCCACTCCCCTGAACCAGTTCTTCGGGCGGGGCCATAGGCTCCGCCATTTTCTTTTTTTGCTTCTGTGCATGCTCAGAATAATTTTTATTGCACTGTGCATGCGCCCGCAATGCCCACGAGCAAACCAGCAGTAGTGCCTGCCAGAACCCACCCCTGGTGTGCACATATGTACGAACTGGTCCAAATTGGCTGAGTACTACTTCTGGCACAGATCCTTTAAATCACCCATGTTTGAAGCAAAACCTAACAGTATCATAATGGCTGTTCAGAGGAGGTGCTGCCTTTGGCCATTTAATTCTCCCTCACTTTATTGAGTTGCATATTTCATATAATTTGTCACCTGCATATAGTATGTTCAATCTGTACTTCCCTCATTAGTACCTGGAAGAAATGGCATAATATTATTTTAAAAAATAAAATAACTGGGCTTTGCAACCCTAGAATCTCAGACCAGATTAAAGGCTACGTTTTGTGGAAATCTAACTCTTCAAAACCCAAGAACCAGGACTGAAATCCAGCAGGTTCTGACAGGTTCTGGAGAACCAGCTGGGCCGAGAGTGGTGTGGGAATGGAGATTTTGCAGTATCCTTCCCCTGCCATGGACACCAAGCCACACCATGCCCATCAAGCCATGCCCACAGAACTGGTAGTAAAAAAAATTCATCACTGCCAAGAACTGCTATGGATCCATGATCAGAAATGATAATTTTGCCACCGTCTGCCTATTTACGCCTCCCTTTCCAGCCTCCCACCCTTGTTTTTCTTTCTTTCAGGCTCAGATGAAGAGGATGCAGTGTGTGGGACCAGCAAAGTTGCCTCAGATTATCCCTGGTCTGGCATTGCCTTACGAAGTGTCTGAGCCTTACTCTATTGCTAAAGGAGTCCTGCTGTGAGTTGACCCATAGCTGTTTGTTGCTTAGATTTGTAGTTAGCAGGATGGGTTAAACAGAGGGAGGGAGTTCTCTTCTAGCACTCTTCTTCATCTGTTTGCTGTTTGGCCAGGAGTGACCATAGGGGGAGGGCCCAAAAAGTCAAGATGTCAGCCATAACGATGTGGTTGAAGTACGTAGAAAAGGTGGGACTTCGATCGCACGCCATCACGCTTCTTGACTTCCTTGGTCTCTTCCCATATGGACGCCCCTGTCAAAGATTATTTCTTTTTCCTTTTTTAATTTCCTAAAGTGTTTGCGCTCCCTTGATCTACCTGAAAGCATTCCAAGGTGTTTTATAGAATAGTACAAAGAGATACATGTTTACGTGGCAGAATAGCAATACTGAATTATGTGAGTTTCAAGGATTTCTGAATCGAGAAGTGCAAAAATAAAGAATAAGTCACCACAATATTAGATTCCTGCCAGCAGTCAGGTTGAAAGATATCAGCAGTTGCTTAGCAGGACATGCTCGGTGAGAATAAATCAGACCAAATCTTACAAAAATGATGAGGGCATAATACTTGGCCCAAAATTGTGTCCTCTCCATAGCAGAAAGGGCACGTGGACCTAGGTGGTTAAGCATAAACATTTTATGTGATATTTTCTATCAAGTCCCTGATATAAAGAGAGGACTTCAAGAGAGGACCAGCTGTTGGTGTATGAAGGTACAGAAACATGAATACAGGTAGTCCTTCACTTACGACCATTCATTTAGTGACCTCTCAAAGTTACAGCAGCACTGAAAAAAGTGACTGGTCCTCGCACTTTGCAACTGTTGCACCATCCGCATGGTCACGCAATCAAAAATTGGGCACCTGGTAGATGGCATGTAAAGGTCGCAGTGTCCCAGGTCATGTGACTGCCATTTGAGACCACCTTAATTGTCTTCTGGCCAGCAAACTCAATGCGGGAAGCAGGATTTACCTAACCGCCACTCCCGTTCATTTAACAATTGCTATGATTCACTTACAAGGACTGTGGTGGCTCAGTGACTAAGACGCTGAGCTTGTCAATCAGAAAGGTTGGCAGTTCGGTGGTTCGAATCCCTAGCGCCGCGTAACGGAGTGAGCTCCTGTTACTCGTCCCAGCTTCTGCCAACCTAGCAGTTCCAAAGCATGTAAAAACTGCAAGTAGAAAAATAGGAACCACCTTTGGTGGGAAGGTAACAGCGTTCCGTGCACCTTCGGCGTTTAGTCATTCTGGCCACATGACCACGGAGACGTCTTCAGACAGCGTTGGCTCTTCGGCTTTGGAACAGAAATGAGCACCGCCCCCTAGAGTTGGGAACGACTAGCACACATGTGCAAAGGGAACCTTTACCTTTATGATTCACTTAACAGCCATGGCAAAACAGATCATAACACGGGGTGCAACTCGCTTAACCAACTGCCTTGCTCAAGTCTCAGTTTTGGTCCTAGGTCCAGGACTACCTGTAATAAAACCAACCATTCTTGCTGAAAATCAGTGGTGATCCCCACAGCCTAGAATGCACTGCAGCTAGGTGCCTCTTAATGCTTTCCAAAGAAAATATTAGATAAGAAAATATTCCAAATAAATGAATGATTTCAAACCTTGCTTTTTTCATATATATATTTTTTTGAAGACTGGACAGTTACCTGTCTGAAATGATATAGGATCTCCTGCTTGAGCAGGGTGCTGGACTTGAAGACCTCCAAGGTCCCTTCCAGCTCTATTCGGAGTCATTGTGGACACCTTCACGTGGTGCTAAGAGATCGGGCTACGTATTGTAGCCCTGTGAAAAGCTGCAGTACGAGTCTCAACTCTGCTGCACTGGACGAGTCTCTGCAGGTTTAACCCATCTTGCTGGCTACTGATTTAAGCAACAGCTCTATAGGATTCAGGGCATCGTAGGCTTCTCTGCTTGTCCCAGGCACTCCAACCTTCCATCTGGATTTGCCCCTAAAAGGAGAGGGAAAAATGTGGCTTATATGAAGGGTAAGTTGTAAGTAAGCACAGATGATGACATTGTACATAAAATTGTTCCTCATTGTAGGATGTACCTATTAAGACCCTGGCCGCAGATGACATTTTTCTGCCTTTGTGGAACTTGGCTCAATTTAGCTTTGTATCTGGTCTAAACTTGGTCCGTTTCTTAAAACTTTTCATTTTGGAATGGAAATGTAACCTGGCCATGATGGCATTCTCCCACCATGTTTTTTATATTTGCTTTCCACATGAAGCATGGGATAGCTGATTCACCATCACTTTGATTGCCTTTCAATATGTGCACGTCACTTTTTCCTCTTTCAGTGAAAATACTTGAGTACTGTCGTACTGTATTTGCTAATAAACACAAATGGAAATATTACTACTAATAATAATGGTGCAAATCAATAATTTTTTCTTCTTATAAATTGTATATAATATAATGTATGTATAATTTTTTTTTCCTATTTTTTATTTATTTATAAAAAAAGGATGTATGTATGTATGTTCCAGCATAACTCTGGAGCACCTCGAGCAATTTTAACCAAACTTGATACACAGATGACTTACCCTCTGGAAATAAATACTGGGTGGGTAAGACACCCCTGGTGGGTATGTGTGTGTGTGTGTTCCAGCATAACTCTGGAATGCCTGGGCCATTAAGGAGAGTTAAGTATGGCGTTTGTGATGTTAGTCCTTCTCAGCTTCCTCTGGAAAGCCAGCCGTGACATTCACCCTCCAGTGGGCCAATGGGGAAGCGTCTTATGATTTGGGGCAAAGTACCAGGATCGTAGACAGGGTGGGAAAGAGGAGTGCATGGGAGAGAGAAGGGAGAGGGCAGCCCCTTTCAATGGCTCTCTCTCAGACAAACAGTTCAACGTCTATAAATATCTGGGCAACGCCGGTTTATCAGCTAGTTGATAATAAATGATAAGGATGCAAATTAAAGATTGGGTTTTTAAATTATGCAGAAGGTTCCTTTTTCCTATGTGTGAAACCCCCCTGCCACAATTTCTCATGAAAGATGTCAATCACAGGAGGAAACTGATAGTGTTCCAATATGCACTAAAAAAAATTTGCACTGGTATGAAAAAAAAATAGCACTATGGGTAGGTAAAAGTACTCATGGTGCCAGTGTGCCTTCAGATGTTCTTGGTATGCAAAGCATCGCCTGGCATTCCTCTTTTCTTTCTTTTTAAATAATATTTCAATTGAAAAATCGAAGCTGGCATACCTCTCTAACTATTTTTATTTACATAAATGCCTCTGGGCCTCCAAGATAGACTCTCAAGATTTCCTTGAAAAAGAAGTATTAGAAAACTGCAGCTCATTGGTTTAGGAGTTTATCCATTTGATCCACTGAGATTAAGAGCCGCGGTGGCGCAGTGGTTAGAGTGCAGTACTGCAAGCTACTTCTGCTGATTTCCGGCTGCCTGCAATTTGGCAGTTGGAATCTCACCAGGCTCAAGGTTGACTCAGCCTTCCATCCTTCTGAGGTGGGTAAAATGAGAACCCAGACTATTGTGGGCAATATGCTGACTCTGTAAACTGCTTAGAGAAGGCTGTAAAGCACTGCAAAGCGGTATATAAGTCTAAGAGCTATTGCTATTGCTATCCAGGATTGGGGGGAAGACACTGATAAGCAAGATAGCAGAAGAGCTGGGGCCAAGAGGCTCCAACCTTGGCAACTTCACAACTTGTGGATTTCAACTCCCAGAATTGCTCAGCCAGAAATGCTGGGAGTTGAAGTCTTGAAGTTGCCATTTTGGAAGCCCCCTTCGTTAGC